TCCCACCTTAGCTTGATTTTTGAATGGCGTTGTTTTTTTAGTAGAGAGGACGGTTTTAATTTTTTAATGCAAGAAAGCCCATATTTATATACAGTAGATATATTATTGTAGACAATACCACCTGAAAACTAAGACCTCATGCACACAGGAATTAAAATGCATGTTTCCAGGTGTGTTTGGAGCAAACAATAGATTTTTGCATCCTGCAGTACTAACCTGCTGTGTCGTCTTCTCCGTCTGCTTCAGCCACTCCGTGTAACAGCCTTGTCCTCTGCTCGATTCTGACCTCTTCTCCCGCTGATTGGCCGATTGGATGATGACAGGCTTCCTCACCAGTCACTCCTGACTGATCATTTAATCATTACCATAAAAAAAAAACACTCCTGACTGGTGAGGAAGCCTGTCAATCATCCAATCAGCCAATCAGCAGGAGAAGAGGTCAGAATCGAGCAGATGACTGAGGACTTGGAGGAGGAGTTCTTGGCCATCTTGTTTCATTGAAAACGCTATGGAGCTCCTGTTTCGGGTCCTTGAAGATGGCGGACATGGCACAGGTACTCATTTTTTGTATCCGAGTATTTGCATGAGTACGAGTACTCATGCAAATACTTGGTATCGCCGCCGATACCGATGCTTGTATCGGAGCATCCCTAGTTTACAGGGTTATTCACAAAGGGGTGAAGAGTTTGTAGAAGGCAGGAGAAGTGAACAATCTAGGCCAAAATAGATAAATTGGAACAATTCTGTCATTCAGCTCACTTTCCAGTTCAGCTATGTTGTCCTAGATTGTTCACTTCTTCTGCCTTCTCCAAACTCTTCACCTTTTTGTGAATAACCCTGTCAATGTTCAAGATATAGTGGTAGGGCAAAAGTACAAAACATCTGTTTCTAAATACAGCCAATCTATATGTCTGAACCTATTTTGATATCAGGCTCTTGCAATCTACAGTACTGTAGTGTGCATACTGGGGGATAAAGGGTCAGTACTCTAAGCCAATTAGGTTCTGCTACATCCACATGTGCTGACAATGAATATTGTGACAGAAAGAGAAAGGACTTTATCAATCTCCTGTTGTTCATCAATTCTCCAATCACAGGCTGGTACTAAGCTGGATAATTTAACTGTTGGAGGTAATTGTGTGGTCTGTGTAAATTAAAGTAGAACTCTAGTCAAAAATAACAAGGTACAAATTAATAGTCCACAAAACCAGCTTTTGCTGTCATTAATCCCCTTCAATCCAAAGATTTCTTCTACAGTAGTTTTTTTCTATTGCGTGATGTGCTCAGTCTGATGGCCAGCATCAGTCAAACCACTTCCTCTGAGCCTAGGTCACCCTGGACCCACCTCAGCTTGTGAGTGGGCTGTAAAAGAAAAAGGATCACAGAAATGAGCTAATGTGTCTGTCCCTCTGCTTTCACTTCCTGTTAGAATTCCTCTTGTCAGCACTGATTGGCTCCCTGTGCTGCTTCTTCCTCACATAATCCAGGCATGCTCAACAGAGATTGTAAAAGGCTGATACCAGGTCAAACCCAGGTACTTACACTGCTTGCATGTAAACAAAATATATATTTAACAACGTGTTAATGTTTTCAGAGCTTCATGAATTTGTGTATTTCATATCTTAAAGTTCACCTTTAAATGATGCCCCTTGCATATCTTGGTTTAAAAATTAGCAGCAAGAATGAAAATGTAGCAAAGTATAGATAGCAAGTTAATACAATATGACAACAGTAACTTATATTATGTTATTTCTGATTCTAATTGAACTTCAACATTTTAGAGTATATTTGTTTTCAGCAGCGGGAGTCTGGCACTGGAAGTATTCAGCACAAGGCTCCTATCTGCACATCCTCCAAGTAAAAAAAAACCCAAAACATCAGGATGCTCTACACTAAAGCATCCTTTTCCAAAACACTTAAAGCACAACTCTGGGCAAACTCTTTCTTAACCCTTGCAGAGGGTTAAGTGCTTGTTTGTGTCTAGGTACAAAAATAAGAAAGTTATACTACTGATCCTTTTAGTCAGCTTGCTCTTAGACTGGTCTTTCCAACCTCTCTCCCCCTCCTCTGCAGTGGTTTAAGTGTATAGGATGTGAGGACACCGAGGGACATACCATTGCCGCAGCAGAGGGTGAGACAGGCTGGAGGGAGCGCTGTGACAACTGGTTGGCGCAAATGATCAGGTGAGTATAACTTTGTTATCTTTGCAATAAGACGAAATGAGCACTTAACCCTTGCAGTGCGGGGGGTGGCCCCACTGCAAGGGTTAAGCAAAAAATTGCCTGGAGTTCTTCTTTAACTCTTTCCCTACCTGAACATCAATAACTAACGTAACCCATAATATAAGCCCTTATTACTTATAAGAGAACTTAAGCCAAACTTCCCTTTTGTATCACATGAGTACATTTACTAATGTACTTCTCTGATGCAAAGTCAGCATATAGCAGGCTACAACCCACTATATGCTGACAACCCAGAGCCGCGCTGCAGCAGGGAACGATCCCGACAATATTGCTGGGATCTACCTTGCTGCATGATTTTCAGCTAGCTCCACCTCTCTAGAACCAGCCATACCACCCTCTCCTCTGTCTGTCCCTCCAATAAGTGCAGGGGGAACAGAGAGGGGAGAGGAGAATCCCTGCAGGAAGAAGACTGTGAGTTAAGTGATAAGCGGTCACAGGATTGCTCAACTCTCGATCTACTATTTGGTGAGTACATTGCACTTTCCCAATAATTCTCCCTAAAATACCCCTCCAACACACGCTTAAAACATAGCACCTCCCAACATTTAACCTAACCTTTAAAGGGAGCTTTACTTAACCCCACTCCTCAAGGCATAAATCCAATTCTGTGTCATACTTGCCACACCTTTTCCTGCAAGAGTAGCCTCTGTGTCGAAAGAATGCATGTCCCACACTGAATTCATGCAGTGTCAAGATCCTGACACATGAAGAAAATACTTTGATTAAATTATGTTACTTTTAAGTATTTTTCCTATTTCAAGGGCATCTGACATGTGATAAGGAAAAGAAAACATGCTGTTTTAAGACCTTGGTGTCCTAGATCTTGTAACATTCTCCAAACAGATTTTAAAAAAAAAACTATTTGGACAACCACCCGCTGGCAACATTTTACCACTTATTTTTTACGACAATGTCTGCAGAATGTGCATGTTTTGTTTTACATTTGCTAAATATGTTGGACAAAAAAAAAAAAAAGAAAATGATTAAAGAAATGTTAAAAATATGTTCAACTCCCTGCTTGACAGAGTGGTCTCATTTTAGATTAAATATAAGTTACTATGCAGGCAAAGACATATAAAATATTCTTAGTTTTTGGTGTGCCTTTGAAGACTGGCATTTTTTAAAAGAAAGCTGTTCACTATTTAGCCCTTTTACTCTACTTTTTTACTGTCCTTTGTAGATAATACCATTGCATAGACTTCCAAACCTTTAGAATGACAGACATTTTTCATAAGCGTACACTGCACAAGGAAGAAAAGAGGTTGGTGTCAGAGAATAAAAGAGACTAGGTCCTTTGGCCTGATGTTCATGTTACCCAAAATAACAGTGGATAACAGGGGAGGAAGCTCAAATATTATTTGAGGTTGGCAAAGTGTGCTCGCTGCTTTGATGGTTTCTGTGGCTTCATACCTTTCATTTGTGTGGTTTTCTAACTGAAATCACTTTTTTTGGAACTAGGATAAGGTATAGGAGAGCAAAGTATCATTTTAAAGTCTTCCTTTGATGTACATTGGCTCTGCATGACACATTTACCTGAATTACTTGTATAATTGCAAGAACCAATGTGGCTAAACTTGATGACCTCTGTTGGTTGTCATATACTATTTATTTTGTTTGATTCTTTAGTATATTATCACATTTTAAATAATATTTTATGATTTAAACCTGGAAACATTATATGAGATGAGCCTTTAAGTTTAGCTTTGTTCTACTTCCTTGTATAAGCACCAGTGGTTTAAAAGTAATATCCACTTAGAGATGCACAGTAAATGTATTTAAGCGTTTATACATTCTAAATGACAAATTAAAATAGTCGGTGATGCTTGAAAGGGACAGAATGGCAGGTATTGTTAGCTTGATAGGATCTGGAAGGTTCAGCCTTTGTTGCCCATCAATGCCGTTAAGGGAATCGCTGCACCAGTATGTCTCTTATACAGAGTCATCAAAACCTTCAACAAACATTGGTTTCTGGAGCTTGCATTAAACTCATTGGGGTCTATTCATGAAGCTGCCGAGGGCAGCCGAGTGAATGACCGATCTGAAGTGAAGTGAGCCGAACACTGTTCGGCTATTCACTTCAGGCTGGTACGGCTGATTTCAGCTGTACATCGGCTGAAAACCGTGAATAGACCCCATTAAATAAAATACCAGAATGGATTTGCAGGAGTTAAACAATGCAGCATTTTTAATGTGCACAGTCAGTATTGTGAATAGACCGTATTCACAGAGAACACGGGACCATTTCATTGCCAAATTCTTAAAAAATCCCCAATTATGATAAGCTTCAAGCAAACCTAGGAACATATAGTCGTGTATTCACTAAAAGTGTAATTATTCAGGTTGCAAACGTGATTCACCTTTTCTTTATAAAGATTGTTAAGATGCCCACACACTACAATCTGATTACACAATGTGCCTAAAATTTTTCATAATATTTGCCAACAACTATGTAGTGTTCAAACCTAAGCAGTTCAATAATAGTATATCTAATCAGATAGTCCAAACAGCACTGTTATTGTAAACCGTGCACAAAAAGACTTTAACAAGTATTTGTAGCAATATGGTAACACTGATATTAGGCAAAGTACCAAATTAAAGATTGTATGAAGAACCAAAGCAGTACTGTAAATGATACAAGCACCAACTTTAACCAAATACATGGTCCTGATTATTTTTTTGTAGCATCAACATATTTCTGCAACACATTTCAAATTACACAGAAATATTAACATTTGCCCCACGTCCGCATAAGCATACAATCTAATATTCCCAACTCAGAAACTGGAGCACAATTGTGAGGGGCGAGTGGAAATTCATCAGCTCGTTGTTCGCCACCGGCAGGACGGGGGTGAAACTGCCACTGCTTCTGCGGTGATCGCTCTCTCTTCATGGCCGGGGTGAAGGGAAGACGGGCAAACTGATTCTTCTCCTCCGCGGCCGCTCTGTAGCTGCAGCGGCCACGGAGGAGAAGAATCCGTTTGGCTGTCTTCCCTTCATCCCGACCAGAGAAGAGAGAGTGATCGCCGCAGACGCAGCCGCCTTTTTTACCCCAGTCCCCCGTCCTACCGATGGCGAACCCCCCCACCGATGAACACAAGGATCCAGTAAGTTGCCCTGGAGTTCTGATGGGACATACAAAAAGATGGAGAGAGCAGAATGACCTAAAGACAAGTTCTTTACCAAGCTGCTTGTCCTTCGCTGTCTGACCACAGGTTGGGGATGGGCACTACTTGTATGTTTTACTTAAAATAGAATTTAAAAAAAACAAAAAACTGACATGTAGGCTTTTAATGAAGAAGGGATTCTGTAGGTCTCTCGGTCTTTGGTGCCCAGATAGGTAATCCAGGCACTCCATGTAGTAAAGAATTGGGGATATCCATCATGCAGCTGTGCTTTTAGCTCAGTGGGTTTGAGGTTGCAGATAGCAAAGAAGCTTGGGGGGGGGGCAGAGGGCACCTCCCTGAAATGAGATGGGCACCTCACTGAAATTGCTTCTTTCAGGTTGGGATCCCCGGTGCCCCCCCTACCAGCACCACCAGGAAAAGGGCATCTAAATCAGGAGAGGACGAGGAAAAGGGCAGGAGCAGAAGAGGGTACCTAAATCAGATCAGCTATATGCACTGTAACTCCCTGTTCTTTCTGCCTTACACCGCTGACATCTCTGCATTACATTACTGACCTCTGTACAGTGCGTTACATTACTGACCTCTGTACTTGGCATTACACCACTGACCTTTGCACTCTGTGTTGTTACTGATCTCTGTACTTTGCGTCACACTGCTGAGCTGTCGGAGGTACGGCTGGGGCAGGGTAGAGGTTGGCGAGTAACTCTTAAGGCCTGGCTTGTAGCTCAGGGCCTGACATTCTGAGCCCTGCTCTAAACTAAAATTATTTTTGCCACAGTAATCTTTATATTTAACAACCAGGGTCAATGAGAGCTGCAGACAGCCAATAATAACAATGGTCATCAACATCAATGATATGATTTTAGTGAATTGAGCCTAATATCTTAGTCTTGCAGGATAAATGCAGATAACAATATACAATATGTATAATTATCAATAAATATTAAAGAAAACCAATTAAAGAAAATGCAGACAGGAAAAGGAGCTATGGCTATTGTTATTAGTGGGACATGTTTAAGTATCCCCTAAGACACTCCAATTTGGGGTACAGCTGAAAAGTGGCTAAATGATTAAATAATTGCACATCCATTTTGTAAGTCATTTGTTTTTAAATGTATATATTAAGCAAAAATAACTCTCTCTAGATTACAATATCTTTTACCTTCATTTTGCAATTAATAGTGATAAGTCTTTTATGTTGTCACTTGTAAATCCAGATACTTCTACACCTCATCAAGCTAAACTTTTAATTGACGATTTGCAAAGACTAACGGGAAAATAATAGCTCCTTAAATACCATCAAGAGAAGAGCAAATTAACTTAACATAGAACAATGAATAGGTAATTACAAAATGTCAATCCTTGTTTACTTAATGGAATCTATGCAGAAAATAAAGCAGGTAATAGAACAGTGTATTTGGGAGAGAACATGCTATCTTGATGTATTGATGCAACAATTAAGGGAAACTCAACAAAAATATCTGTATTTATAGAGGCCATGTAACATCTATCCTACTAGGGCAAGGATTGGTGTGAATTCCATTCTTAAAGTAGTATTAAATCTTCAAACTTCTTTCAATACTGAATCCAGTATTGAATATGTATCCAGTACCTGAATACTCAATTAAATATTGAGCCTAAACCTCAGTTTAGAAAAGTCTCTAAAGATAAATTTTTACTGGTGGATTTACATCTTGGTGATATGGGCTATTCTGATCCTCAATAGGTCTGTACACTAACAATGTCTTCCTTTTCTAGACACTAAGCAGCTGAAGGATCTAGCTGTAGCTTCGGCTGATCCTTCGGCTAGCTTTGGCCCCAGGACCCCTTCGGTTCGGTAGAACCGAAGGGCTGCTGTACGGGCTGTTCACTATAGCCCTACAGCTCCCTAAGTCGGCCAGACGGCTCAGTCGAGCCGAAGGCATATGCTTCGGCTCGACTGAGCCGAGGTGATAGCGGAAGCTGGCCGAACTGCCGGCCATTGGCCAGCCGACAGCCTGCTTCTGACAGCTGGGCGGAGCCAGACTTGATGTTACAGCTGGCTCTGGCCACTTGCAGAGAGATCAGCCGCCCAGGAGAGAAACACTGCTTTTTCATTTTTATTCTGACACGGAGCTGTTGGCTGGCGTCAGAATAAAAAAAAAATGTCACCATAGGAATGCCTTGCTAGATTCCGATTGTCTATTTCAATTTGCAATAGACAATAGCAAACTAGCTAACAGAGGGGACCTGCAGTTCTCCATCAGGTCCCCACTAGTGATTGACAGCAGCAGAGGGCGGGTGCATTAGCTAATTTGCTATTGGCTATTGCAAATTGAAATAGCCAATAGGAATCTAGCAATGCATTCCTATGGCGAAAATGTTTTTTTTTTTTTACGACAGTAGAACCGCCGGCAAATAGAAAACAGTTTGGCGGGGGTAGCTGTCACTGCTAGCCCCACACAATCGTTTTCTATTTATTTTTTTGTACTTTTTTTACTATTTTTCTGTTCTGCTCGGTCCCACAGAGGGACCGAGCAGAACAGCTGAGCCGAATGCCACTCAGCGGCATTCGGCTATTCACTCACTGCTGTTCGGCATCTATAAGAATAGACCGAACAGCAGCGAGTAGCCTGCCAAGGGTTCGGCTTAGCCATTCCAGATGTTGGATCGACTGAGTTGAACTCCTTCTGCACTTCGGGTCCGCCGAACCTGCTGAGCATGCTCAGCCGACCCGAAGCCACCCGATGTACGGCTGATTTCAGCCGATATACGGCTGGAATCAGCCATACCAGCCTGAAGTGAATAGCTGAAGAGCACTTCGCTTCAGGTTGGTTGTTCACTCAGCTGCCTATGGCAGCTGAGTGAATAGACCCCCACCGTTATCATGTTTCCAAACAGCTGGCTCCAACTCTCAACCCAGCTTCCCTGAACTTCCTGTCTAGTACAAAATAACAAGCAGTATCCAGAAACTAAGTATCTACCTGGAATACCTGGAATGATAATAATAAATAATCTACAAGCTTGGAGAAGAGAGAATGGAGGAGGGAGGAGCTGGTTCCAGGGGAATGGCTTGACTTGCTGTGCGTTTGTGAAGACACATACAGCAATAAGCAATGTTTGCTGGTTGTAGCTGTGGTAGAGAAGTGTTTTGCTAAGGAAGATGATGGAAAAGATGTTCCTATTTCTTGTGACTTTTTAAATGTGTATACTTTTTATAAGCTTGCAGTTGGACAAAAGACTCTAAAAGTCAATAACAGGTCTCTTGTCATCCATGAAAAAAGATCTGTGAAACTTGAAAACACAATGCCGAAATTTGAAAAAATGTGGTCCCCCTGGGTAAGACATACCTACCACCTGGTTGTGACCGAAGATTACTTACCATCTAGCATATCGCCCTGACCTGCCCTAGCACTTTCCCCTTCCACCTTCGGTCTACTTTCTCTTCTATTCTCCCTCTCATTTTCTCTTTTCTTCTCCCCATACTAACCCTCTCTTCACGTTTCTTTCTCTTACTTTCAATTTATTGTGTACTCGCCCAGGGTATATGCTATATACTTTTATTTACTTATTACTAACGCATGATCACGGTACCCACTGTACAATACTATTATTTTGGCTCGCAACACCGCTCATTGGAAATATTCCTGTTTATATGCCAACACCATTTTGTATTTGGCTTATCTCCTTGTGAAAATTCTTTATCACTATGCAATTTTAATTTTGCCCCTTTTTACTGGAAACTCTTTCTCATTTATCCATGCCTCTTATTGTGCATTTTATATGTACAGTACACAATGTTTATCCCTCTACCTGAATTCAGAGCATACTTTTTGTCTATGGTCCATTTACTTTGGATACTTCTGTTGTTTCTGCTAAACTCTTTATATACTCTCAAAAAAAATTGAACATGAAAAAATATAAGGTCTCTTGTCTACAGCAGAAGATAGTCTTCAATTAAAAACTTGATCCAGCAATAATATCAGAGATATCTGCCCATCTATGGTCACTATTACTATAGATCAGGCATGTCAAACTGGTGCTTTGGGGCCATTTTATTCCAGGAAACTCATGTACAAAGGAAGTACAGTTGTTTTATGCTGGACTATTGAAAAGATCTGTAAGAAATACACAAAGCCAACATTATTCATGTGAGAATAGATATATATGACTCTTGTAAGTAAAGTAGGCCTTAATTTCAACACAACATATTAATGATTTTAAATGTGTTTGTATTAATACACACACATATTTGTGTCCGTGTGTGTTTGCCCTTTGAATGTATCTAAGCCATGATTATATCTCACACAGTTTCCCTAAGGCAATATCTGTAGATGGAAGCTAAGTATAAAATATCCACCATTACGCTGCAATAGTTATGTAACCTGACAGACTGTCTGAATGTACTTACTTTTCTCTCTTTCTACACAAGGGATCATCAATAATAGATGGTCATACAAATTGATTGGATTGTACTAGGGAGAGCTTTAAGTGAAATTTAAGTCAGATACATAAATACTGTAATACTCTTTTTAGCAGTTATAAAACACATACTGTGGGATTTGTCTCATACTTGGTTCTTAAGAGCATCATTACAAATGATTTTGAAACAAGATATATTCTAAAGAGAAAAATAAAAATGCCATGTTTTCCTATACATATATCAAAAAAGATAGTTATTTGCAGTAAAGCTTACTATTGGGAATGCTAAAAATATTAAAATCCTACAATCATCGTCATCAGTAGGTCAAATAGGGACAGTTAGGCAGAGATTACTTTGTACCTTGCAAAGGCATTCACAGTGAAAAGTAGCAATGGCTTGGACTGTCAGTGATCACTGTCCAAATATATACAAACTAAAGTGACAAAAGTTAGAAATATCACTAAATCCTAGAAAATTCAACACTAGCATTATACCTTCCTATTTAAATATCTTATTGCAAGATACGTAACAATTATATCACATAAATGCAGGGCATCTGAGACACGGGAATTTAAATATATCTGTACAAAAGAGT